TTACAGACCACATTCCTGGTGAAGTTGTCGATGGTGTTGGCCAACCCTGGGAACACACAAGTTGCTCGGGTGGCTGCTGGTTTGCAGGTCAAGAACTCCCTCACCTCCAAAGACCCTGATGTCAAGACACGCTACCAGCAGCGATGGCTGGCCATCGATGCCAACGCCCGCTGCGAGATCAAGAACTATGTAAGGCCCCATCCTCAATCAAACCTTCAGCGCCGCCTCCAAAATGTGTTGGCGTGCCCCCGTGGTCTCAACGCTCCCGTGTGTGTCACAGGTTTTACAGACCCTGGGCACAGAGACGTACAGGCCCAGCTCGGCCTCTCAGTGTGTCGCCGGGATTGCCTGTGCGGAGATTCCTGTTAACCAGTGGCCCGAACTGATCCTGCAGCTGGTGGAAAATGTCACCAACCCATCCAGCACTGAACACATGAAGGAATCCACACTAGAGGCTATTGGCTACATCTGTCAGGACATCGTGAGTGTTGTTTTTCTGCCACCTTTATGTGCTCTGTACCTTGAGTTGTTTTCAGGTCTGGATCAAGTCCAGATGATTGTAGAACATCTCCTGTAATCAGACTGTTCCGGAACATGAACTGGACAGTAAAGAAAAAAATGGCTATTGTGATGATGGAAGTGAAGTCTTGGAGCAAAAGTGATTTGTTTTGATCTGACATCATTCTGCTGTAGAGCAGACCACTCTGCTGCTGCTCCTGCCTCCTCTTATCTCTGTGTAGTTCACTGATGTCCAGTTCTGTAATTGTAACGTTTGAACACTTGTACTTTTCAGGACCCAGAGCACTTACAGGATAACGCCAACCAGATTTTGACAGCCATCATCCAGGGAATGAGGAAGGAGGAGCCGAGCAACAACGTCAAACTCGCCGCAACCAATGCTCTGCTCAACTCACTGGAGTTCACCAAGGCCAACTTTGACAGAGAAGTACGTAGGCCTGGAGCCTGAGTAGAGGCCGTGAAGTGTTTTTGTTGAGGTTTGTAGTACGAGTCTGGCCCAGTGTTCAACGTGTTGACGTTCCTCTGTCATTCCTGTTGCAGACGGAGCGCCACTTCATCATGCAAGTGGTGTGTGAGGCCACGCAGTGTCCCGATACCAGAGTGAGTCAGACCAGGTTCCTCCGTGGTCCACATGAGTTTAAGCTTTGATATGGAGAAAACACTGACGTGGTTCTGTGTCTCAGGTGCGAGTGGCTGCCCTCCAGAACCTGGTGAAGATCATGTCTCTGTATTACCAGTACATGGAGACCTACATGGGCCCAGCTCTGTTCGCGGTAAAGATCCAAACCCCTTACCTTAATGTAGACGGTCTCTTTCCATACAACTAGGAATCCTGACGTGATGTTGTGCTTCTAACACACAAGACCAGACAGAGTCTGAGGAAGCTGTGAATGTGATCAGCTGATTTCAGCTGTGGTTCCAGAGATTATGAATCTTTTCAGCTCTGATACTTTGGTTCATTATCTTGGTTTTGCAGATCAGGTTGTCAGATTTGTCGGCCTCACTTCCTTTTCTTCTTCAGATCACCATTGAAGCGATGAAGAGTGACATTGATGAGGTAGCGCTGCAGGGTATTGAATTCTGGTCCAACGTTTGTGATGAGGAGATGGACCTGGCCATTGAGGCTTCAGAGGTCTGCTCTTATGAACTTTTGAAAAAAAATATTATTTACCCTCCCTTCCACCTACCCATTTTTGCTAATTATTATGTCTAATTTCAGGCGTCAGAGCAGGGGCGCCCCCCAGAGCACACTAGTAAGTTCTATGCCAAGGGGGCCTTGCAATACTTGGTACCTATCCTGACCCAGACCCTCACCAAACAGGTAGGATAACTGTGTGTTCATGTCATCACCAGTGCTGTGTCTTCATTAGCTCAGAGGCCTCTGACACATTTTTTCTTTTGTTTTTACCAGGATGAGAACGATGACGACGACGACTGGAACCCCTGCAAGGCAGCCGGGGTGTGTCTGATGCTGCTTGCCACATGCTGCGAGGACGATGTGGTCCCCCATGTCCTGCCCTTTATCAAAGAGAACATTAAACACCCAGACTGGCGGTACCGCGACGCCTCCGTCATGGCCTTCGGCTCAATCCTGGAAGGTCCGGAACTAAACCAGTTAAAACCACTCGTTATCCAAGCCATGCCCACTCTGATCGACCTGATGAAGGACCGCAGCGTGGTGGTCAGGGACACCACAGCGTGGACCGTGGGTCGCATCTGTGAACTGCTACCTGAAGCCGCCATCAATGAGGTTTACCTGGAGCCACTGCTGACGTGTCTCATCGAGGGCTTGGGGGCGGAGCCCAGAGTTGCGTCCAATGTCTGTTGGGTAAGAAGTACTGTGCATCATTTCAAACATCTGTGGGGCAAAAGATTCCACGTTCCCCTGGACAACTGCTGATAGTCGGGTTCCTGTATTTTATTTATTTTTTCTTCTCCCCAGGCCTTTTCGTCTCTGGCGGAGGCAGCGTACGAGGCCACGGATGCAGCTGAGGACCAGGAGGAACCGTGCACCTACTGTTTGTCCTCCAGCTTTGAGCTTATCGTCCAGAAACTGCTGGAGACCACAGACAGGTGAGTAGACGAAACACCAAACAAACAGAGGTGGTGACGTTCGTGTGTTCTTGACTCGGGTTAATCTTCTGCTCCAGACCTGACGGTCACCAGAACAACCTGCGCTCGGCGGCGTACGAGGCTCTGATGGAGATCGTTAAGAACAGCGCCAAGGATTGTTACCCTGCAGTGCAGAAGACCACGCTGGTCATCATGGAGCGGCTGAAGCAGGTCATGCAGATGGAGGTGAGGAGGTGGAGGTGCTGGGGCCCAAGTGAGCGAGCCTAATTTTCCACAATCGTGGAGTGCTGACGATGTTTTCTGTTTTTCCAGTCTCACATTCAGAGCACGTCGGACCGGATCCAGTTCAACGACCTGCAGTCACTGCTCTGCGCCACGCTACAGGTGCCGCGCTCGTCTTCGTAACCTGAGCTTCTCTGGGAGAACTGACCTGTAATCAAGTTTCCTGTATGCGTTTCCAGAATGTCCTGCGAAAGGTTCAGCACCAGGATGCGCTGCAGATCTCGGACATGGTGATGGGGTCTCTGCTCAGAATGTTCCAGAGCACAGCTGGATCAGGAGGAGTTCAGGAGGACGCTCTAATGGCCGTGTCCACGCTGGTGGAAGGTACTTGTACATACACACTTCATACCAGTACACACACACACTTCATACCAGTACACACATGTGCTGTTCGTGTGATCAGTATAACATCTGTGTGTGTGTGTGTTTCAGTTCTAGGCAGTGACTTTCAGAAATACATGGAAGCATTTACACCGTTTCTCGCTATCGGTCTGAGGAACTACGCTGAGTACCAGGTATCAGCCTTACAGAACTAACCCTCTGTGTGTGTGTCTGTCGTGGGCAACATTAACCACAAGGTCACCAATGATTGATTGATTGATTAATTAATTGACTCACAGGTGTGTCTGGCAGCTGTTGGTCTGGTCTGTGACCTGTGTCGAGCTCTGATGTCCAACATCCTTCCTTATTGTGACGACATCATGCAGCTGCTTCTGGAGAACTTGGGGGTGAGCAGATATCCTCGTGTTTGTTTTTTTTTTCTTTTTGTCCTCACCGCTGCTGTCCACTCATGTCTCCCAATCCCCGTCTCCAGAACGAGAACGTGCATCGCTCAGTGAAGCCTCAGATCCTCTCGGCGTTTGGTGACATCGCTCTGGCCATCGGAGGAGAGTTTAAGAAGTATCTGAAGATTGTATTGGACACGTTGCAGCAGGCGTCCCAGGCTCAGGTGGACAAGGTACGAACGCACAGGCACAAACGCACACTCGGACGCAGAGAAACGCGCCGATTTTTCTGACGATGCTTGTCTCACAGACGGACTACGACATGGTGGACTACCTGAACGAGCTGAGGGAGGGCTGTCTGGAGGCCTACACCGGCATCATCCAGGGCCTAAAGGGCGACCAGGAAAATGTCCACCGTAAGACCACGCTCCTAGTCACATGACCAATCCAAATCACATGACGCCAGTTCCTCTTCCTGTCAGCAGCAGGTCAGGAGGATTTTAGAGCGTCAAAGAAAAACTGGGTCCATTTCACCCAGGAAGTTGCAGGCTGTTCTCAGTCAGTCACACACTTCCTGGTTTTGCGGGACCCTACACAAATGTGTGTAGTACACGTGTACACACTGTAGTCCACTGTGAAGGCAATTTAAAATGTCCTTTTCTGTCTCTTTTTTTTTTTTTCTCTCTCTTTGGCACCCCCTACAGCTGACGTGCTGCTGGTTCAGCCGCGGGTGGAGTTTATCCTGTCCTTCATCCACCACATAGCTGAGGATGAGGATCATTCTGACGGAGTGGTGGCCAGTGCTGCTGGACTGATTGGGTCAGAACCTGTTCTACTCTCTGTCTGTGTCTCTGTGTCTGTCTGTGTCTGTGTGTGTGTGTCTGTGTCTGTGTGTCTGTTTGTCACAGTGTGTTAAAAGTATGGGTAAAGTGTCCACGTATGTTAAATCAATTTTGTGTGTGACCTCAGTGACCTGTGCACAGCCTTTGGTAAAGAGATGATGCAGTTGCTGGACACACATCCTCCCATCAACGACCTGCTGACAGAAGGTCGACGCTCAAAGACCTCCAAGACCAAGACCCTGGCCACGTGGGCCACCAAGGAGCTGCGCAAGCTGAAGAGCCAGGCCTAGTACGAACACACACACACACACACACACACTCGCCGCACGTGTTGTTCACATGTACTGCTAAGGGTCTAATCCTGGTCTGACTTTTGACAGATGCCTGACAGACAGACAGAGACGTGAGTGAAGGACAAACTTCCCACTGGACGAAAATCTTCTGTGTCTGTAAACAGAAGACGAGTGTGTGAGGGAGAGAGAGAGGTGTGTGTGTTTGCGTGTATGAGCGAGTGAGAGATGACATCACACTGCCCTGAAATCCCTCCCCCCTCTCTGTGGACTGGACTCTTGACTCCACCCTTTGCCTTTATGCTAGCTCCGCACCTGAGATAATTACCCACCTCTGGTGGACTGCTTCTGATGATGACATCACCGGGCTGCTTCTCAGGGTGGCGGACTCGTAGTGGACGTTCCTTTTTTTTTTTTTTTTTTTTTTTTTGGTTCTAGTTTTTTTGTTCTTTTTTTTTTCTTTTCTTTTGTTCTGAGCACTCAATCAGCGACAAGCTCTAACGGACACAGACACTTGGCAAATGCCGCCGCCGCCGTGTCACCAACAGCAGCACTAAAAAGTTTCAGGCTCCGCCCATTAAGGGGCCTCTCCAAGGAGCGAGTGCCAAATGAAAAGATTTGTTTGGGAAACGGTGACTTACCTTCACGTTGGTGTTAGAAAGTTCTGGAAATAAGACATTTGTACGAGCTTCTATTTTTCCATTTGCTGATGAAAATAAAATAATGTGAAACATTCCCCACGCAGTTCGTCTTCTGTCAGATTCTGGACTCGACAACCGTCTGGACTTTGACCCCGAGTTCTCTGGCTTTTTTTGTTTTACTTTTATAATTTTTTTTTTTCTTCCCACCTTCACTCTTCTGACATAGTACTCGCTCCACCTCCATGTCAGGACTTGGGATAATCAAACAAATGTCAGAAATCAAAATTCCTGTGCGTGGACAACAAAGAGGGCTTTTATTTTGTAGGGGAATGCACTTCCTGTGTTGACACATGCACTTGGAACTTGCTTTTTATTTCATAACTTTAGTGAATTAATAAAGTCTATATTGTTCTGAACATGGGCTGCTGTGTCTTTTAGTGGGGGGGGGGGCTTCTGTGTTGTCTCAGGGTTTCCCTCAAATCAGGACATCGTGTGACCACATCCAGTCAGACGGCTTCAAGCTGCGGCTTAGGCCATTAAAGATGTGGGTTTGTTGTCTCTGGTTGATCTCCTATTGGTCAGTGGTGGTGATGTTTGGTGATGTGATTGGATCTTTTGACCTTAGACTAAGTCAGTTAGACCTCGCCCCCAGGGTTTACACCTGTAGTCATACCAGTGGTGTCTTTCTGTGGCCAATGGCTTCACTGTTAGCCGTCAAGGACGTCTCAGAGTGGAGTGCTGTCATTGTTCATCCAACAGAACGTCTCTGGTCTTTGTACTGCAGTAGAACCAGTTCTGAACCTGAGTCTGGAGTCTGTCTGTGGGGTGTGTGTGTGTGTCTGTGTGTATGAAGTCACGCCCATATTTCCTGATTTTTTTTTTTTTTTTTTATTAAATCAAGCATAAGGAACTTAAATAAATAAACATAATTTAACTTAATAAATAAATATGAAATAAATATAAAATAAATAAATTAGTGTAAATAAATCCAAACATAAAATAAATAAATATTAATAAATAAGGACAGATGTGACTGTGGTGGGATCAGATGAAGCAGCCATGATATTCCATGAGAACTGTCCGCAGCACCCACAGGACGTCTCTCCTCAGGGCCATCCAACCACAGGTGGCGCTGTGCTGTAATCAGGAACAAATGCATTAGAACCGCAGGTCCGTGAACCGTCTTTGTTTTCACAGTTGGTCCCAGACCGATGTTTGTTTCACTTCTTTGCTGGTTAGAGTCTGATTCGACGGCTCTGACAGAAACAGATGCTGTGCCTAGAACGTACCTTGTGCTGTAGAAGAGCTGTGATGTCGGCGAAGTAAGAATCCAGGACGTGAGAACCTGACAACTGAAGAGAGGAGTGAGTGAGTGAGTTGAATAATAAGTGACTTATTAGTGACTAAATGAATGAATGAACTTACACATTGTCCCTGGTCCAGCAGACGTTTCTGCAGGTTCCTGAAGGTGCTCAGTTTCATCAGGTTCCAGTTGACCCCTCCTTCCTTTACGTTGTATTCGGAAAACACTTCCCTGGTTCCGTTGAGGGTTTCATGCACTACCCATAACACCTTGCGACACTGCAGGGAGCCAGTCACAGATTCAACGACCGAACATGAGCATCAGCTGCTCTGTGATAGGCTGAGAGCCGAGGTGACATCACAGACTTACCTGAGAGTGAGTGGATGTTGCAGCAGGTAAGATGGAGGTTGGGAATGTGATGTTGACGTTGTAAGGGCTGCAGTGGACAGGAAAGTTTGGTCCCTACAGGGCAGAGAAAGCATGAGCACTGGTTTCACGAGGTGCTGATTCTGGATCAGGTTCTGGTCTTACCAGGTCTGCAAGCAGTTTTTGGCTGGACTGGACGAGATTCCTTTGGAGTCTGCATGTGGGCATGGCTCCCAGAGGATGCTGAAGACCACATAGGTAGATGATGACAAAAAGGACGATAGAAGACGGCATCGCTTCGGTCTGACAGTGATTGGTCTGGCGAAGGTCCTGTTTTTCCAGCAAGCTCTGGTTCTAGAATGTAAAAACATACATTACTTTTTTGACAATATTTAATATATCCAGTGATGCCTTTGCGGACATCTGTTTTTAGTGATGCCTTAACTTCTCACCAGTGTTAAATTCAAAAGTTCAGGAAAGGTCGAGAAGGAAAGGTTCAAAGTTGTTAAAAGTTCTAACCCAACGTTCCGTCTAGCAGTCGATCAGTGTTTTAATATCGATGATCTGATCAACGCCACGGTGCTTTAACAATTGTGAGTCGTTGACTTTTATTTGTCGAACAGAACGGTCGTGTGGAAACTGACTGGCGGCCTTTTCCAGCTCACACTGCAGTTGATTGAAAAGACTAACTGACTAACTATTTCCATTCTGATGTGGCGCTAGACCCTGAAACGAAACCTAACTAAGTCACATGGTTAACTTTATCCAGGTAATTTCAGTCTGAACTCGGGCTTCAAACGGTGGCAACAGTTTCCATCTGACAAAGTCTCGCTGGAAACATAGTCTGACGCTAATAACCAACGAACCGACAACCCAACCGCCGCGTCTCTGTTTCCAAACTGGTCATCAAATCCAAATAACTTCATCTTGAACTCAGTCTTCGAAAGTTTTTTCGGAAACATACGATGACGCACAGACCGACGCAATCATTTTAAATGTAGAATAAACTAATACGGCTAACTTCAACGTGAACCCTGGTTGAACCTTGCTGCACACGTTAAACTTTCTAAGTTTAACGTTGTTATGTTCAGCGTCGTCTCTTGTTCAATCCAACCGACTTCCACATCAGCAACATTTAACTAAGTTAACTTCAGGTTTAACTGAAATGAATTCAAATGGTTTTAGCTTTAACTCTGGTTAATCCAGCTAACTTCATTTTTCAATCCAGTTAAATGCCTATAACTCCTGTAATAATATTTAAAAGATATTTTAGTTGATTCTGAAAATGATTATTCCAGACCTGGAGAGTCCTGTTGGATGATAGGTCCTGAGGTCCTGGAGAGTCTTGAGGTCCTGGAGAGTCTTGAGGTCCTGGAGAGTCTTGAGGTCCTGGAGAGTCCTGAGGTCCTGGAGAGTCTGAAGATTGTTGTGAGTCTGATGTCTTGTTGGTGTGGTTGTTCTTCAGGTGGTTGTTGTTTAAATAATTCACCATTTTAGAAAATGAAAATGAACCCTCGGAACTTTCGGGTTTCACACTAAAAAACCAGTTAAACACAAATGTTGACATCAGCAACAGTAAAACACCTAAAACAAATTAACACACACACAGAGTGATGCAATCACAATAATATGCATAAACATATTAACACAAACACAATGACACACCTCAACCACCACACAGACAAGGACAGACAAGACACTAATACAAAACAAACACAGTAAGACTCACACAATCAGTCCCAAACACACACAGTGATCCTGAGCCTCAGATAGGACCCTGGTGCTGGTCCTGGTCCTGGTCCTGGTCCTGGTCCTGGTCCTGGTCCTGGACCAGGTCCTGGTCCTGGTCCTGGTCCAGGTCTCCTCGTCTCAGTGTCCTTTCTCAGAGCCCACAGCCCGTCCCTAAAACAAGAACAAAGAATCAGCGTTCAGTTTTGTTATTTCATCATTATTTTTTTTACACAATAACTATTACATCCAACCATTCACACCAGCATTTACACCTCCAACCATTCACACTAACATGTGCACCGCCAAGTGCATTCATGACTAATAATCACTAATAATTGTTCAGTAAATGTGAATGGTGATGTAAATGATTATTGATATTATTGATCGATTTTCTCATATTGATCATATGTTGTGGTCATAAATCATGATTGATTTTCTTTAATGAAGAATACTAAAAAAACTTACTTTATTATAAATGTATTGATCATAAATGTAAAGGAATTAGTTATTTAAGATAATAGATGATGATTATTATTGACATGACGCTTTTAAATGATTATAGTTGATTATCGTTAATGACTGTGACTAATGATGACTAATCGTTTCATAAACAGCGACTGCAGGCATTCTCTGACTCTCACATTTCCAACTGTGCTGTGGGGGAAACAGACGGGCCACGCAAGGGTTTCTGTTCTGAGAGCTCGACTATACGTTTACGATGAAAAAATGAGAGAAGGAGGGAGGGCGGGAATTTCAGATTTCCTCAGAAAAGAGAAAATGAAGCAGCAGGAAGTAAAGCTCTGTGGGGCAAGTCCCTCATAATTTCAGATCTCAAAAGAGAAATTGGCTACGTCACCACTCTGGGACAAGGCGTAATGCTGTCACAGTAATTAGGTATGGGGAAACGGAAACGGAAACGGAAACTGCTCATGCGCAGAACTAATCTGGTCAGGTCTCGAAACAGAAACGGCAGCGGGTGCCAAACACGACGCGCGTGTACGAGAATGAGCGAGTCAGCGGGAGAACGGTGACGTATACAGGGTACGTTAACCCGAACACGCACTTTCGCCAGAACAGTAACAGGACCTGGTTGTTGCAGCGCTGCTAATGCTAGTGACACTGTTAAAAGCGTAGCCTGAGCTAACAGTAAATGCTAATGGGGCAGCCCCTGGCCTAGCAGACGCAGGGTTCGCGCACAACTCCGGAGAAGTGCTGGTTCGAGTCCCGCCTCGGTCGTGGTGAGCACCCACTGCTGATTTGAGAGGTTTCATTTCTAATGAACATGGCTTATATAGAATTTAGTCGGATGTGGACCGCGTTTAGGGTTCGACAGCCCGGTGTACACTGTGATATCAGCATGAACATGTTATTTATTATTGACTATTTGTAATTCAGCCGTTTAAAAAAATAAAAAAATCATGTTTTAATATGTATTAAATGTATCCCCTGGAATGATTGACATCGAACACTTACGTATATAAGGCTTTACTAGTAAAGTGCATATTCATACACCAGGCATTGAATGTGCTTTTCATTAAAGAACATTAGAAGAAAAAAATAAAGCAAAAAATGAAAACACAAATAAATGTTAATATTATAACAAAAACAAGTAGGATTATACAATTAAGATTTTAATCATAATGTGGAGATACGTTTTTGACTTGGATTCACAAATTCACCTTCGGAGCCGACTTTAATTTTGCTGGTAGAAGTTTGTTCTACTTTTTTTTTTGCAGCATAACATTTAATTGTCAGATCCGACATGTCACGCTGCTTTTTATTGGATCAGCCCATGTCTGCTGGCTGTGGCAGTGTTTGACAACATGTTGATGTGAATGTGATCCACACCAGCAGCTCACTGCTACTTGTCTTCATCAGGAAAAAAAAAGATGTCCAACCACCAACCTCCCCTGGGAGGCGCTACAGACACAACCGCCTGCAGCCAGGTCAGTAACATATGAGGAGTCTTACACGTTAAAAGTGCCGAAGAGTTGCTGATTCTTTAACGTCCTCCGCACGTGTGTCTCTCTACAGCTGAAGAGTGAAGATCTTCAGTGTCAGGACGCACTGAGGAAGTGTGAGCACAGCCAGCACCCGTACCTGCGCCTTTACCAGTACCTGCAGCAGCAGCCGCCGCAGCAGCGACCGTCAGCTCAAAAAGCTTCGCCGCAGCCCAGTAAGACACGCCCCCTCTGAGACTCAAGAGATTCAAGTTGTGCTGTCAACACGTACGCAAACGCGTCGTGACAAGTGCAGATTTCAGTGATCCAATCACCACCAGGAGTGGATGATCGGTTTCTGAAATGATACATTTAGTGGTCGGGGGGGGTCGGGGGGGGGTGTAGCCGGATCTGTCCGAGGAACCACTCTAGAATTATTTTTCTGCAGATATTTTTATTTCTTGCTGTGAAATCTTACTTCATCGTCAGTCATCTCACATGATTTAAACTCATTTCATCTTCATCCAGCAGCCTCACTGGCCCCACCTCCATCCTGCACCCCCTCCTTCCCTTCCTCTGTGATGTCATCATAGTGTATTTGTGACATCATCCCATCAGGAGCTGGAGCTCTGCTTACCTGTCCAATGGTTGTGGTTCTCAGAGCCTAAAAGAGGAGGAGCCACGGCAGGAGTTGGAGTCGGCGTGGATGGAGCACCAAGTCAGTCAGAAAGTGCTCCTCCAATAAGAGGGCTGTGTGAAGGGGGCGGGTCTTCCACCTTTAAGCCAATCACAGGTGGGCGTTTTGAATTTCAGTGTTGTACTTGTTTTTTATTAATTTTATCTAATTTTTTTTTTTTCCCCCAGATGGCTCCTCTGCTTCCTCCTCCCTGCTCGCCCCCTCCCCAAGCATGAGGCACTCCTCTCCTGCCCCACCTCCTCCTTCCCCTGTCTCTCACCGTGGCTGTGCCCCGCCCCCTCCCGTCTGTTTGCATACTGGTGTTAAGCCCCTCCCGCCAAAGCCCCCCCACTCTCCTCTTTCCACCCGCTGCCTCTCAACTTCAGGACGTAGCGCGGCGCCTCCTCTGACCCCAGCCCATCTCTCTCCCCGTGTCACTGGCGATGGCGGTGTTGTTGGTGGTGGGGAGTCCTGCCCCGAGATGCAGCAGCGTCAAAACTCCATCAGCACCAAGAGACCCGCCCCCTCACCTGGAGGCCACGCACCCACACGGTACCCCGCCCCTCCCCCTCCTTCATCCTCTTCATCCTGCAAAGGGCCGCCGCCCCCAGTCCGTGATTCCACAACTCATATTTCAGGTGCGACATCGACGGTTTCATCGATATCATCGTTGAGTTCATTCAGATTCTTGATGGTAATTATTGAATTTTCTTTCTTTCAGTCCAGTCCACGATGCTAGTTGCGGGAGGCAGGGAAGCCCCGCCCCCTCCTCCTTGCAAGACACAGGTCAGCCCCTCCCTCTCGTCTGACCAACCCATCAGAGGGAAACCATCAGCCGCTCCAACCCGAACCCCCTCAGCTCCTCCTCCTCCTCCACCACGTAATGGCCTTGCCTCCTCCCCTCGCTTATTCCTGGGTGAGTCATCTGCCCATTCGTCCAATCACTGTGCAGGAACACTCTTAAGATCTAGTCTCTTGTTAGTTGATCACGTATTGATCTTTGAGCTGTCATTTTATTGATCATTCATTGATTCGTTGATTTTTCTGCCTCAGACGATTTTGAATCCAGATATTCTTTTCATCCACTGGATGATTTTCCTCCTCCGGATGAGTTCAAACACTTCACCAGAATTTATCCCAGCAGGATCAACAGAGGTCACACATAAAACACACTCACAGTATTGTTTTTTTTTTTCTAAACTGAGTTCACACATTTTGACTTTCTCTCTTTATGGCTTTTCTTCTCATTTCATTTTTTTTAGTGACCAGAGGAGCTCCACCTCTACCACCCGTAGGAAGGTGAAGTGGGAAAATACACACACACACGTGTGGGTGTACTCTGGAGCAGGCCTCATACTGACATGATAGGATGGGAAAAGGTATGCACCTGGACCTGGACCTGGACCTGACCCTAGACCTGTATGCATGCTAACGCTGACACTAAAGTTGGGGTTCATAAAGTCAGTTCAGAATCAGAGAGAATCTATAAAAGGATCCAAAAACAGAACAATAGCAGACCAACATATAGAACCTGCTGCTGAATATGCATGACCTTCTAGCTTTAATAGGAAACCATTTCAGTCATTATTATTACTGATAATAATAATAATAATGTTACAGTGATGGACATGCCAGCTGATAACTATAGTTTATAGTTAAAATAGTTTGATTTTTTTTTTTTTGTTTTTTTAAAAGGTTCTGCGTTCAGGTTTAACTTGGAAATAAACGTAACTTTTGAGCACATTTCCAAAAAGGGAACATGGTTTTCGCTGAGTCCTGATTGGTTGACATAAATTGCATAATAATGTGCTTTGTGGTCCGTGAAGGCCATTGTAGTTGATAGGATTTGAAGGACTGAGTGAAGGAGTCCTCTATTGCCTACTGTTTTGTTTTTTTTTATAAAGTGTTCTGTTATTGTTATGTTATTTAAATGTAAGGGTTATTGACAATATTTTTGTTTATTGAAAATCATTTCAGTAATAAATGTCCATGTGTTTGCCTCAAATCTCACCCAGTCAGTGTTTTTTTGCTGGTGACGTTATAACGTCGACTTAATACACTCTCCCCTCCCCTGATAAACTTTTTTTAGGAGGATATTATATAGGATATTTAAGTTTAATTTCTGTCTTTATTTAAAATGAAGTCCAATGTGATATGTGAGTCTGGGCTTTACAAATAAAATTGACTTAAACGGGGAAAAGTTGATGCTCCTGGCTCTGGGAGGAGAGTAATTCTTCCTCATAACATTCTGCTTATTAATGTCTCAGATTTAATCACTTCATAATCATTTTATAATCAACAAACTTTCCACCAGGACTGCGTGAATAAAACGTCAAAAATAATGCTGATGAGAAAGTGCTACTAAAAGGCAAATTAACTGGATACAATTCGATATATCCAGACTGACCGGAAACATTTCCGACTTTCAACACTAGGTGTCAGTGTTTTTATACCACTGCTTCAGAATTCCGTCCTCCGGAAGTAGATTGTTGGTGTTTCCGTCTTTTCCCCTTTTCACACACGTTGTTTTCGTCAACTGTGGGTAAATCGTAACTTTTTGACCAAGGTTTAAAACAATGTCGGAGCAGAAGAGAGCGCGGCCCCGCGGCTCAGATAAGGCGGAACAGGAGCAGGAAAAGCGGCGGAGGAACACGGAGAAGGTGGCCGTTCTGGGGCAGGAGGACTCCAGTGTTAAGATTCTGGAGGAGCTGGTGTTCGGTGGGGAGGACGAGCTGCTGGACAGACTACTGCAGGTGGGTTACAGAAAAAGCAGACGAAAAGTAGGACAACAACACTGAAAGATGGCTAAATGTTAGTGACATTAGACATTAGATAAACACGACAAAATAATAACTTAAAAAGGTAGAAGGAAAGTAACATTCATCTCCACAGTTGTGTAAACACAGTGAGATTTGACCAGGTTTTTTCATTATTCCTTTGGACTAGAATCAAGCTCCGAACGAGAAATTATCTAAAAACTATGTATATTAGTAAAATCACCATAACAATAGCTGAAAGTTAGCTTGTAATATGGCAAAATATTTGTCAGGGTGGAGGGAATACTGAGATTTTCATGTTCTGTTCTGTATTAGGACGATGAGGCGCTGAGGAATAATTCATCAATATCCATCCAAGAAGAAGAAGCAGAAGAAGAAGAAGCAGACGAAGACGGTCCAGAGCCACAACCAAAGAAGAAGAGAAAAGCAGCCTGGGTGGATGACGACGACGAACTGGAACAGATGTGAGTGAGCGAGCGAACATGCCTACAAATGTTCGTGTGTGATTTATGATTGTCGTGAATGTGTGTTTGTGTTTCAGAGTGGACATGACTCATCGGTCCAAGAGAGCCCTGGTTGGTGGCGCGGCTGAAGTGTCCAATCAGCAGCTGCAGCAGAGAATGAAGGAGCAGTGAGTTGGACCTTTATCTCTTTGTCTGTCTGTTTGTTTGTTTGTTTGTGTGTGTGTGCGCGCTGACTCTGTTGTGTCTTAGATTTCAGAAGGCGATGGGCGGGACTCCATCGTGGGCACAGCTGTGTGATGGACAGAAGAAAAAGGACACGATTGGTAAATTGTTGATAGGTTTCTAGAACATTGATGTCTTTTTCACCTGTAACAAACTTTAATCCTAGTCCCTGCCCTGTTTCTACACACACACACACACTAATCTTTTAACTTTTCAACTTTTCTGCCTCGTCTGGATTATTTGAATGTGGTTTGACCGGAGTCAACTACTTAATCTGTCTAATGTGGCTAATCTGTTTAATCTTAATCACAGAAGTATGAGAAACCTGTGTGTGTCTTGTTCCTGAAGGTGAAGATGAAGATGATGAGGAGGACGACGACCCAGACGATCTCCTGAGGACGACAGGAAATCTACTGACGACCTCGGAGCGTCTGTCCAGTGGTGTCCTCCAGGTCTGTCACAGTTGTGGTTTCTGGTTTTGCTCCAGGATTCTCGTGAACTAAACCTTGGATCTTTACCGCAGATAAAGAAGTGCCGCCATGCCAACACTGCACGTCTCTCAGAGGATCGGCTGACCAGTGTCCAGTTTCATCCCAGTGCTCAGGTGGTCCTGACAGCCGGAATGGACCAGTGCCTGTCCCTGTTCCAGGTGGACGGAAAGAACAACCCAAAAATCCAGAGTGTCCACTTGGACCGTTTTCCAGTTCACAAAGCTCGCTTCAGTTCTGATGGACAGATGGTGATGGCCACCAGTGTGAGGAACAGGATGTTCTACCTGTATCACATGATCCAGGGACGGGTGATCGGCGTACACACACTCAGAGGTCAGGGGTCATGGCACCTACCACTGGAACGTTAAAATGTATTAAAGAATAAATTCATGTCAAAGAGGGAACAGGAGATCAGAGGTTGTGTCTCTTCCTGTTTCAGGTCTGAATGAACCAAAAGTGAAGGAGTTCTGCATTTGTCCTGAGGGAGGTGCCGTTCTGCTGACAGGGACCAGAGGCTATGTGCATTTGCTTGAGCTCAAGGTAAGCACACAGACATGAGACTGCAAGAAAAAGAAAGTCATCAAATGATCAACGGCTTGGCTAAAAACCTACAAAATTGTTTGTGTCTGTCAGACTCAGGAAGTTGTCAACAGTGTGAAGATCAACGGCGAAGTCAGGGGTGTGACTGTGGCGGGTGACAGCAGTAAAGTCTTTGTTCACTCAGGTGAATGATTTCACTAAATGTGATTCTTTAAACTTCTTTTTCTTGGGTGTCTTTTGTCTCAAATGTTTATTCCCAGATTTCTGATCTGTTTTTTGGAAACTGAAACAAATCCCATAGAAAATCTAGAATTCTCAGATGAAACTGAGAAATTTGTTTATTTCTCTTAAGAACAGCATTCATAAGAGAGACGATGTTTGTGAATTTGGGCAAAACAAATAAAAGAGTACTTAATTCTAATTCTGAAAGAAAATCTTGAGATTTAGATCATACGTTAATACGAAAAGTCAGAATTTTATCTAAAAATGCAATAAAAAAACGCATTTCTTTAAAAACACCCTCTTCAGTAACTACAGTCATGTGACTCTGCTGTTGCTGTGTGTGTGTTTCACAGATGAGGGACAGGTGCACATATGGGATGTTCGCAACAGTGGTCGTTGTCTTAACGTCTTCACAGACGATGGTTGCGTGACGGCAACGTCAATCGCTTCCTCACCTGATGGACGTTTCCTGGCGTGCGGGTAAGAACCACAGTTCTCTCTGTGCTCCCGTGGTCATTACCTGACCATCTCTAAACCTGACCATCTCTAAACCTGACCATCTCTTCTACCTCTTCAAGGTCTCAGTCAGGCGTAGTCAACATCTACTCTCAGGAGGTGTGTCTAAATTCAGCCAATCCCAAACCTCTGAGGGCTGTTAAAAACCTGGTGACACCTGTCACTGCCATGACCTTTAACTCCAGCTCTGAGATCCTAGCCATCGCCTCCCAAGCCCAGGACGAGGCTGTGCGGCTGGTGAGAAGAAGGTTCTAGATCTGACCTGGTTCTGTTGTCATTCTTGCTCAGTTCTGACCCTGTTCTGTTCCCCCAGGTCCACCTGCAGAGTCTCAGTGTCTTCTCGAACTTCCCCGTCTCCCGGAGGAAGATGACGTACCGGACGTCCTGCATGGACTTCTCACCCCACAGTGGCTTCTTTTCTTTGGCTAACAACAAAGGCCACGCCCCCCTATTCAGGTGATACATCTGTCATGTGACCTGCACACATCAGCATGCAATGCCTTAGAGTGAACAACAATATTTACTGCAGAACCTAATGATTATACCACAATAAGCTTCACAGAAATAAATCTGTGATTTTAGCTCACAGGGACACAGCAGCGCCCTCTGCTGCCTCCGTCACTCAGTTACCATTTGTGAGAAATGGGCAGTGGAATATCAGCTGTTTTGTCCCTATGAGCTAAAAACATTGGTTTTCTCTACGGACTTTGATGTGGAAAAAAAGTGATGGTTGACAATGTTTTTTTTTCCTTTCAGACTTCTGCATTACAAAAGTTTTTGAGCCCAGAAGATCCATATCTGATGAACAAACAAAGACATCTTTATATTTACGATTATAGTAACGATGAATGATCATATTAAAGTTAAAAAAATTATCAGCTGATTTTTTTTCAATCCTCATACTTTTAAAAAAATGTTTTTTTCTAAAATTCTCACTCACTTTAATCCATTCAGTAATCAAATTTGTTAGAACTGTGTTGTCAAGATAATTTATTTTATCATTATTATTTAAAACAACATCCAACAAACTTAGTTTAATTCTATAAACAACAAAACATATTCCTGTCCAGATTTTTATATAAATCCATATACTGTATGTATGTATATTTTTCAAATGTTTTATAAGAAAAATAGAATTATAGTAGATTCCTTTTTTAATATATCCTAACCGTGTCATCTAAAATATTCCAGGTTAGTCAATGTGTTTTTAACGTTAAGGATCTGTGTGAAAATAAGTCACAAACTAGTAAATATTTCGACATGTTTTTAAATTACGACATGGAAATAGGACCTTGCACTGCGCAACTCCTGACCGCTAGATGTCGCTGTGGTTCATGTTGAACGAAGAAATTGAGAATCACGTGACTCTCGGCGGGCGTTTGAAAAAAAAATGGCTGAAAGGTAGGTTGTTTGAGAAAACAAGTTTGAACTTGAGTCCACAATCTTTCTTAATGGTTTAAAAACCATTTGTGTTGTTGTCTGTTAAAGCAGGGACTTGTCCTAAAGCTGGATAAATACAAACTGACACTGGCGCTACTTTAAACTACGACGGAGGGAATTGTTTGGAATCTTCGCCGATAGCAGATTAGCATATTAGACAAAACTGCATTTTCTTCATTGTTTACGTTGGTTCGTCAGCGATGAAAAGGTGGCTAAATCAAATACTTTTTGAGCCGTGACATGGTCATGGACCAGAGCTTAACCAAATATAAATACATGTGAAAGTTAAGAGTGTGTACTTATATAACTCTAATAAGTATAGCCTGTATGACGTGGCTGTTTGTTGTTTTTAGAACATTGTTCTCGTCTCGTCCCAGTTTAGGCAGGGGAACAGATTCATCTTGATGTCAGTTATTTAGTAATGGTAAAACATTGCTTTTGTATGAATGCACTCTGATGCTAAAATATGTGTGTGTGTCAGTGTATTGCAGCACTGTGACCCGGTCCTGCTGGACCAGGGTCTGTTGAATTCATGTGGAGACTCGCAGCAGCTGGAATCGGCTGAGGCAGCACAAGTGGTGCTTCACCTGATGGTTAGTAAAAAGATTATCAGTCAGATTAATGGACAGAAGAGCAGAATTATAATAACAGTGAGGGTCAGAATACTAACTAGATAGTTTTTTTCCCGCTGGTTTTTGTGTGTATGTGTTTCTAGGACAGTCGTCGTGTCCAGAAGGTGGTGTGGCGTCAGCTCTTTGTTCTGGACTCCATCATGTCTCTTTTAGAGGAATTGAAGTCTTCACAGCAACTGGTGTCTCAGCCTTGTCCTCCTCTGCCTGGTATTCATGCAAGCACACAAGACAGACACACAAACACACACGAACAAACACACACAAATAAAACCAAACTTGTTGTGTGTGTGTCAGGGTCCGGGGCTCGGTCCACCTGGAAGTCTCTGAAGGTCCAGTTCATGTCCAGTGTGGAGGAGACAGAGACTCTGCTCCAACAATTGCAAAACAAAGTCCAACAGACTGAGGACAGAAGACACAGATTGAGACAACTGCTCTGCAGACTTGACGACAAGGTGTGTCCTACAGCCCAGTCACACGAGCTGGGGACTATGTCCTCCTCACATGTCCATATTTTTCTGTCCTCTTGTCCTTTTTTTGTACATCTTATACACTCTTCTCTCCTCTTTCTCCTCTCATCTCCTCCTCTCTCTCCTCCTCTTGCCTCCAACATCCTCCCCTACCCTTTCCTCACCCCTTCCTCTCCCCTTTCTTCTTCTCTTACAGAAGGAACAGTGTGAACAGCTGAAGGCGGTGCTGCTCAAGTCCAAGAACGCACTGCAGGGCTGTGAGGATCAGCTGATCCAGTTAAGGGCCCAGTCAGAGGCAGTGCAGGAACGGCTGAATGTGTGGCAGCAAGTCAAGGACTGGTGAGTGAGCTCTCAGATCAGGTGACCCAAACGCTGAGCAATGATTGGCTGCTGAAGGCCACTTCCCGTACAGTCTGCAGGTGCTGGTCTCGGCTCACCGTGATGTCACACAGATTACGTTGCTGTCGGTCGAGCAATCCGAACTCTGCGTTGAACTCAGGCCACGCCCATCCTCAAAGCTCTGGACTAATCAACTGGAGCCGCTGAGGCTGAAGATCAGCTGGAGTTCAGATCAGCTGACGTTCAGCCTACAGGTGAGTCACATGATCGTCAGAGGGTTAAAAAAAAGATCTGTCCCTCTCCTTTTCTCCCTTCTTTCTCACACACACTCTCTTCTCCTCCCCAGGTGGAGGAAGGTCCAGCAGGTTTGCTTGAAGACAGTTTCAGGGGCAGATATTCAGAGTTGAGTGCCGCCCTGCTGGAGGTGATGCAGTGTTACATGGGTGAGGCTGAGCTGCTGTTGGAGGTCCAGAAGCTCCGTTCCAGGTCAGTTAATAGATGATCAATGATTAACAACTGACTTACTTAACTAGAAACATTTTGTTTTTCACACAAGGGTCCAAAGAGGAAAATAAATAATTTTTAGCTCAGGCAGACACAGGAGCTGACGATCTCCATTTCCTTGTCGTAGACTTACTCCATCTCTCTCTGTTTCAACAGCTTTGCTATTGATTGGCGTCCGTCTCAGCGCCTCCTGGTCTACCTTAAATCAGCCACAGTAGTGTGCCACCTGCAGGTGGAAGAGGGATATCCGAGCAGTGGAGTAGTGCGTCTGCAGGGCATCGTCAGAGAAGGACAGACCGTGGACATCAGTGGACTGAAGGTAAGACGCAGTGTAGAACTACTGAAGCAGCAATAGGACAGATCAGAGGTGATGTCAGCATGATGTCATCAGAATTAGTCTGGATTAACATTGGATTATTTACCTCAAAAATGAACAAAAGACAAATGAAATCTATGTTTGTGTTTTTCTTTTTTTTGTTTGTTTGTTTGTTTGTTTGTCTCAGTGTCAGTCTCTCTCCAGTCTCACAGAGTGGTTGCTGCTACTTCACGATTTCCTCAATTAAATGTGTTGACATGACAAATGTTTTTCTTGAATAAACCTTTTTTATAGTTCTATTTCTAATCTCTCGCTGTCCCTGAATAGAGTTATAAAAAATAACACTCGTATACATGAAGATAAACAGGGGGAAAAGGGACAGAGTTGAAGATCAGATTCAATTTGATTCATTCAATCAATCAAATTAACTTGTTTTAACTACAGTTTCTCCTTCTGGCCTCATGTCATCATAGTCAACAACAGCAGGACTAACCAGGAAAATAGGTGAAAAATGAAAGACCTTTCACAGGAGATCAGTTGATGGAGAAGATGGAAGGAAGGAGGTGTTTGTGAGGTGATGAGGAACCAAAGTCACTCCTGTTTATTCAGTCTAACATAGTCATGGACCTACAGCCACGTACCGACCTACAAAGATATAAGAATCGAATCACTAACGCACATGTATAAGTGTGGGTATGTCTGTGTCTTGTTTCCGCATCTCTCTCTGTATCACTTCCGCCTCTCGCCACGCTGCTTCCCGTTGTCATGGAGACACTGTGTTGCTGAAAGCCGCTGAGTGAAGATTTAAAGAGGAGCAGGTCGAACCCAGGGGTGAGTTCGTTGACGTTCACTTCAAATTGAGTTAGGAAAAAAAAAAATTAAAAATAGCGAAAGAAGAAAAGTAAACGTATTTCTTAAGTAAGTTCGTTGTTAGACTGAAGTAAACCACGGCCATTAACGGCACGGTTAGCCTCAGTCGTGACTGAACGAGCTACGGTAAACCACGGGTCACCGTTAAACACTAGTTAACCTGCTTACACTAGTCTCCAGTTAACCTGGGGTAAGTTTTTTTATATTTTTTATTTTTAAAGTTAAAGACAACCACTGACTGACTGCTGTTCCGCTCTCCCCATGTAGGAGGCGTTACTGCACGTACGGGCGTCCCCTTTGACCCGTGTGACATCATCACGCGATGGCCTCCCAGCAGCGTGATGTCATCAATTTCTCTGCTCTGGAACGCGAGGTGCAGGTGGCGTTGGAGTCCGATCGTCGACACCAGCGAGAGAACGCTGCTAAAGTCCGGGCGGTAGAACAGAGAGTCGCCACCTACGAGGAGTTTAGGTAACTGCAGCTGAACAGGCCGTAATTACGCTGTTAAAAAAACTTTTTGCAAAAGTCCCTTTGTGGTAAACTTAAGTGAAGTTCCCAAAACGTTTGGAGTTGATTGGGTTATGATGTCAAGGTGGTTTTAATGAAAGTACGAAGAATGTTTGAAGTTTAAGACATAAGACATTTTGGACTTCTGTCAAGGACTTGTCTTCAAGGTCCTTGAGTAAGTTTCAGGCTGTGTTGTGTTTCTGGCAGAGGCCTGGTCTTGTCATCACACCTGAAGCCCCTGGAGAGGAAGGACCGCGAAGGATCCACACGAAAACAGCCGTGGAACACTGCCGTCAACAACAAGTGATGTTTTCTGTCCGTGGCAACAATGGACGCCAGATCAGTTGTGAACCCTTTTAATGTTTTTTTCCATATTCATCTCTAAGCTCATCAGGAACTTTACCTGGGTAACAAATTGGACTGCTAAGTTACTCACTAGTTTAGCTTGATAGTAAACATTAGCCCTAGCCAGAAATAATAAAAAAAAAGGACATTTAAGGACATTTATACCATTAGCTTCTGTTAGCATTAAGTGAGTGGTGATTGTACTGGAGGTTGTGTTTGTTGTGACCTGGATAACTAACTATAACTAACTAACTAAGTTCAGTCCAGTTGCTTCTTACTGTCTGTATTTAAAGGTAAACTAGTTGGCTAAACTAGCTTGCTTCTTACTGTCTGTATTTAAAGGTAGCTGGCTAAAAGCTAACTAGTTGGCTAAACTAGCAGGTGTACTTAATAATCAAAACGTGTGGTGACCTTTTTTTACCTGAAACACTCAAATAAAGGAACGGTGGTACTGTTGCTTTAAACGTTGCGCTGGTCGGTGTTCTGGGTTCTGTTTCTGGTTGGTACTGTTCTAAGTAACGGAAATGGTTGAAATTTAGAGGTAAAATGTTAAATAAGCGATTGTGCATCCTTTTTTGGAAGCGGGAGTGAAAACAGGAAGTGGCTTCTGTTGAGTCGGTTTTTCAATCACACAGAGTCTGAGTGTCGTGCTAACTTGAAAAAAGGACTTTCCAGAGTCCCATAGAAACCTCCAGAACTGTTTCAGGAAAAAGTGTGAAAGTGCAGCTCCCCCTTGTGGCATTATGAAACAGGTCTGCATGAGGGTCTTTTGGTGGACATTGAAAACACTGGTACTGCATTTCACATATTCATTGTTTAGAGTTTTTCAATGAATAGTGAGACGTCGGTGTGAGCGGAGGATCTTTGTCTGCACACACACACACACACACACAGATTCACACGCTCTGTTTGTCACTGTTA